TCGTGACCCCCTGAGGGGTCCTGACTCCCAGTTTGAGAACCCCTGCTCCAGACCCATTTAGAAAGAGCTTCTGTAGCAAGGTGGCTGGAAAGGGTGTGATCCCTCAGAACCATGGGGGAGATGCAGACCTTTCAGCAGGTTCTCCTCTGTTTTTATGAGCCTGATTCCGCCACCTTTCTTCCCACTGGTGTAGCATCTTACCATGTGAGCAACCCCGGTGAAATCATTGGGCTGGGAGCACTGTCACAATAAAGCACTACTCAACACATGGGAGGGTATTGGAACCAGGCCTCTATGCTGAGGATAGCTCATTAAAGCCAGCTCTTTCTCCTCTCATGGCAGAGTTACAAATGTAAATGAGCTGGGGCATTTTCCCGTTCTGTGAGATTCCCTTCTTTGACTTACAGCGGCAGTTACACCGACTGGAGATCTGCCATGTTTGGGGCCGCCAGCCTTGGAGGTGAGCTGGGAGTGGGTGAGGGCACATGTACCTAGCGCTGAGATTCACTTGCCATTTGCTTGGGATGGTTTAGTGGCTTGAGCACAGACCTGAGATCCAGGCTCTTTAGGGCTCTAATTCCAGCCCTGCCGCTGAAAGTCAGTGTGCGACCTGGGGCAAATTGCCTCCCTGCTCTGTGCCTCAGTCCCCCTCCCGTCCCGCCGCTCTCTAAAAGGGGAAGTGCTTACCCTCGGGGTTGTCGGGAGACTTAGTTCATGTGAGTAAAGTACGTTCAGGATGGAAAGTGCTGATGAGGGCTGAATGGTGTCATGGAGTTGGCTGGTCCAAAGGAGGTGAATGCTCCTGGGGGCTAGTAGTTGGGAGGGTCTAGCTTTCCTGTCTCTTACAGTTAGGTGCCGGCTGCCGATGGGGCAGGACCTTGGTGAATTGCTGAGAGGTCCCTTCTGCGTGTAAGACGTGAGACCCAGTAAGATATTCGGCCTGTTGCAGGGCAGGCTACTCTGGGTAATGGAGTTCTGCAGGTTGCAGAGTCTCACTTTGTTCCTATGTGTACAATTCCTCTATAAGGTTTTCCCACTGAAGAGCACATGCAAAGCATCCCATTGGATGTCAGTTTTCATCTGCCTCATTGGTCCAGATGTCTGGTCTCCCCAGGTGTCCTCACCAAGGGCCGGGGGGGCCCTGCGGTAGATGTAGCTGGAGCAGGTGCCGCCACAGGCTGAGCCCTCACCACGTGTTCAGTGCAGGACAGAGAGAGATGTGGCTCTGGCCTTGGAGCACTTGTGATGTTAAAGGACACAGAATGCTGCCTAGACTGAACTGAATAGACCAGAGCAGGAGGGGCGGTGGGTGCAGAACCCAGCGGTCTCCTTACTCCTCTCTGGGAGGTGGATCGGCACTGCGGGCCCTGGGGAAGAGGTGCCTTTAGAGCACGTGTGCGTACGGGTGGGGACTGCAGGCCTGACCTTGTCCCTTAGGGGCCCGGAGAAGGCAGCATGTGAACACACCCACCTTCCTACCTCCAGCTTTATTTTTGAATCTCTACTGCCACCTTGCGGAGTGTCTATTTTACTAACAATTCAGCTTCAGGGAAACTATTGACAACCCCCCTCATTAAACTGTACCATTGCTGCCAGTGTGTGAAAGGGGGGACCCTTGAGGTCTGTCAGACAGAGGTTCACTTTGCCCAGGATAAGCTTTATCACTGTGTTTGGAATTTGACTTCCTGTGTCTATTCCTGCTCCAAGGGGCAAGTTGCTCCGTAGCATGATGCTATCTCACTCCTTGACAGAACAAGGAGCAATGGTCTCAAGTTGCAGTGGGGGAGGTCTAGGTTGGATATTAGGAAACACTGTTTCACGAGGAGGGTGGTGAAGCACTGGAATGGGTTACCTAGGGAGGTGGTGGAATCTCCATCCTTAGAGGTTTTTAAGGCCTGGCTTGACAAAGCCCTGGCTGGGATGATTTAGTTGGGGTTGGCCCTGCTTTGAGCAGGGGATTGACTAGATGACCTGAGGTCTCTTCCAACCCTAATCTTCTATGATTTCTGATTTCCTTCTCACAGGGTTGGGCATATGTTAAGGGCTGTTATAAAGAGGACAGTGATCAGTTGTTCTCTATGTCCACTGAAGGTAGGACAAGCAGTAATTAATGCTTAATCTGCAGCAAGGCTGATTTAGGTTGGTTATTAGGAAAAACTTGCTAACTTTCTAGTTAAGCTCTGGAACACGCTTCCAAGGGAGGTTGTGGCAGTTCCATCATGGGAGGATTTTAACAACAAGATTAGACACACACCTGTCAGGGATGGTCTAACTTTACTTGGTCCTGCCTCAGTGCAGGGGGCTGCACTTGGTGACTTCTCAAGGCCCCTTCCAGCCCTAAAGATCTATAATTTCATGGTTTTTTTCCCCTCATTGCTTTTTGATGAAAGGTTTACAATTGTTTCTGATCAGTAGAAGGAATTGAGCATCTGGTTCAGATTTGAAGCAGGATGCAGCATTGTAATGGGGGGGAGGGGTTGGTAAATTTTGCACTTTGTGGAAAAACCACAAGAAAAGCTTTAAAGGTGAAAAAGCAGAGCGTGACCGCAAAGATACAGGAAACTTGGACCTAGTCCTTAACTTCCCCAGAGCATGGAGGGAACTGGATCCATCCTCTGAAACATCAGCACTGGATGATTTAGTTGGGGATTGGTCCATCTTTGAGCAGGGGGTTGGACTAGATGACCTCCTGAGGTCCCTTCCATTCCTGATATTCTATGATCCAAACATGGGTGGGTTGTTAACAGTTCTATTGTAATGTTCAGAAGCTCTGAACAGGGTCAAAGGCTCGCTGTGCTTGGCACTGCACGGTGTCAGATGAGGTCTGTGCCCTGAGGAGCTTACAATCTAATTGTAACTTTGCAAAAGTTTGAGGGATTTTAGACCTGAAGTTGTAGTTTGGGGCTACCTCTGATTGAAGGGGGCATTTGTTCCTCTTCTGGGTCTGGCTAGGGAGAGTTGTGCTTTCAAAAGAAAAGGGAATTGTAGCAGGACCTGAAAATAGGCTGTTTTTTTTGCTGTTACAAAAAAATTTAATTGCTTCCTTCCTCTCTCTCTCTCTCTCTCACATCAGCACCCTCAGTTCAAATCCACAAAGCCATATGTGAAAGTCAAGGTAGTGTAGATAAGTCCGAGGACACTAAACGCACTTGGTTTTGAACGCTCTGACTTTAAATGCGAGGGTTTTGGTCGCTCTTCTGAGCTATGGGCTCGGCTCACATGGTCACCACTGGAATTTCCAGGCCTGAGTGTCTTTCATTGGAACAGTCAGGCCCCTGTTCATTGAACATGTTTGGTGTTCAGGTTCAGCTCAGGTAGTCTGTTCATTGGTGTTTTTGGAAGCAGGATACAGGAAGCCATTGTGCATGAATTGGGCTCTTTGACAAGTGTGTGGTGGTTATGGGGAGCCCACAAGACAGTGAAAGGAAAGCTGATCCAGTGGTTAAAGCACAAGACTGGGCGTCAGATCTGGCATTTACATATTGGTAGTGGCCGATTTACAATGGCATGCAATACACTAAGGGTTTCCTCTGGTGCTCTGTAAGGCTCTCTGTGTGGCTTGGAAATACACTTTTGTTTTTACAGTGCCTGCGTTAGCAACTAAACAGGTGCTCTGTCCCTGGAAGTTAAATGCAGGAGCAGCAGTCTGCAAACATGAAGTGGGTGTTCTAAATAGTCATGTGAATGAGCAGGAAACACTGTATTCTGGTTGTGTTAATATCACTATGCCTTCGGGCAGGGCTGCATGAGAAGATTGCTGGGTACTGCAGTGGGAATTTCCCTTCAGACTTTTTACTGGTAGAAGCATCTTCCTTATGTTAACTGCTGCTCACTTATACACACTCTGTGCAAAGTCACGAGAACAGAAACAAACTGCAAACTTTTTTTTCATGGGTAGCAGTCCAAATACCCCAGGTACACAGACCAAGATCTTTGTCTGCTTTGAATGAATAACATGGAGCAGCCCATCCAGTGTGTACCATGCATATTTGGTTTCAGAAGTGTAGTGAATTTAAACCTGGCTCCCAAAATCAGTTCGGGGGCTTTAGTTGAACTTGATAGGACGTGCAGATCTGTATTAAGTGATGTCACTGGGTGAGGAAAAATAAAAACGTGATTTGCAGTGGGGCAAATACAATGCTCCCCAATGTTTGTAGCAACTAACAGGACAATGTTCTTCAGGGTGCAATTTTGATGGAAAGCATAATTTTAAGACCTCAATTTCTATTGAGTCCTATAGTGACAGTACATCACATATTCTTTGTAGTGTTGTTTTTATTCCAGCATCATCCAGAGAGAGCCCCCTTATGCAAGGCACTGTACTTGCATGTAGTGAGAGAGCATCTGTGCCTCAGAGGTTACAAAGGAAATATTACTCCCAGTTTACAGATAGGAACCTGAGGCACAGAGAGACTAAAGTGATTTGCCTTAAGTCACAGCGAATTTGTCAGTGTCAGAGCTAGGAACAAAACCCAGATCTTCTGAGTCCCTGTCCACAGGACTAATCCTCCTGTGTGTGTTTGTATGGAATACAGACCTCAACATTTCTATTTCTCTCCTAAAGGCAAGGAATATCCTTAGGGTGGGGTGAGGGTTGATTTTTTTTCTCCCCCTCCCCCATTTTCATTGATTCTGATGGGATAATAATTAGAATTGTTAAGGACAGGGAGCAGAAGTTGTACCAGGCTGGTGTAACTTTTCATGATAATTTTACGTGTGCGAGTGTGAGAGAGAATATACTGCACTGCACTGGAGATGAACTTCCGTTCAATGGCTTGACAGGCAGGTCATGGTTTGGTCCCTTTTTTTTGCTTTTACTGTAAATCCATCCAAGCAGGAAACAATGATTTGCGTTGATGTGCGTCAGCTCAGTGAAAAGGGATCCTGTGTCGATGCTCGCAACGTGTTCAAACGACAAGGGAGAAACTGGGCAGTGTCCCTTTAAGAGAAAAAGAAAGCAGGAAGTCTGAGCAGAAAGAAAGTCTCAGCCTGGACTTCGTTCCATCCCTGCCTGTGTGGGGTCCCTGTGGCTGCTTTCAAGCCCACACCATGGCTCCCAACCTGGGCACTTAAGGGTTTTCACTGCATACATTGCTTCTGAGCCAGCTGCTGTCTTCAGGTGAGTGGGAATCTCCTTTCACGTTTGTACAGTCTGTCTTGCAGATGTAAAGAGCCAGGTAAATGCTACGGAATGTTCCTCTCTTGGAGTCTACACTGGCTTTGTTGCACTGCATTATGCTTAGGGTGGTGTATGGAAACCCCTGATGTGCAACCAGGATTACAGGTAGTGCCAGGGTGTGTGTGTGTGTGTGTGTGTGTAGTATGGTATTCTATTGTAACAACAATACTGAAATGCATTATCCTCACATGCATGTGATAATGTGAGACCAGAACAGTGAGAGAAAGATGGATCATGTGCTGATGACAGCTGCGAAAGGAAGCATTGGGGCGGGGGGGATGAGAGGGAGACTAGAGGTGATCTCCCCGTGATCAATACATGTTCTATGCTGGAATAGAGCAGTACTGGCTTTCTTGTTCGGGGGGGAAATTTGTTGTGGTTAAATCATCTGGCATGACCTGATAGACCTTGTGAATCTTGGCAAGAATATCAGCAGGCTCACTAGCTCTTTTTTAGCAACTTGTACCTTGAAAACATTTCTGTATCGATCTGAGGATTCGCCGAGACATTTTCTTTTCTGGGTGCTGATCTAAGGGAGCCTAGATCAGGGGACGCACCAGACTTATGTGCCAGCTCCCATGAGTGAGGGACAGGATTTGTGTCCTTTGTGGCGAGCCATGTTTTTTAAAAAAGTGGGTTTAGTTTGAATAAGGTCCCTATCTCCGATCTTGCGTTTTGTGATCTATTTTTGCCTGGGATTTTAGAGCACACGCAAGGAGAGCGCAGGGCAGGGGGTGCTGGACTGCAGGTGTCCTCCAGGCAGCTCTGCAAGCTCACTTTACCATGGGCTTGTAACATTTTTGCTACTCAGGCTCTGGACCTCTCCTAAACACAGAGCTGGAAGGTGTGATTTCCAGCTTGGAGGAGCAGGCCCTGCACATGAATTGGCTAATCACTTACTATGGCTATTCCAAGGAGGGCGGGGATGCATCAAGCACTTTGCGAATGATGTGCGTACAGCTTTGCCACTGAAGGGGGTGAAGGGCAGCTGCCAGGAAGACGACAGCACTGTGTGATGGATGGGGTGTTTGGGGGTGGGAGGAAGCGAGTTTGGCTCATCACAGGAGTACAGACACCTCTGCAGTGGAACATGGCAGCCGTTTGTCACCAATCAATTCTGCACAATGGCTTTCACCTATGGGGAGAGTTATCTGATGAGTAGGGTTGGATGGGTATCCCGCTGAAGCCCTGAGGGCTGCTTGTAAGAAGCATGATGTGCCCCATTTGCTTCCCATTCCCCAGTGGGGTGTTCATAGTGAGTTGTCCAGCCCCGAATATGCCTCAACTGGCATTCTCCTGTGAGGGGACAGCGTCAAAGGCCAACAGAAGCGTGTGCTTGTGCACTCTTCCCTAGAACAATTGCAGATGGGCACAGGTGACAGAACTGCAGGCGTATGAACTTCAGGAGTGTTTGGACATAGAATTTTGGTTCAGCTCTTTGTCGTGACGGGGTCAAGTGCAAAACTTGGATCTGGATCCCAATTTGGATGCTGAGCTGTCTCCCAGTGTGTCCCCTCTGCCCAAGTGCAATCTCACACACCACTCAAGTCTGGGAAGTCCCACTGTGGAGTTTGGCACAAGCCCATTTCTAATGACCACATGAGCTTGAAGGTTCATTGTACTGAGATGCTGCTGCTGGTAAGTGAGATTTGAATGCTGAGCAGAGACTGCTCTGAGTCTGGGAATTTTTTTGCTCTCGGGGCAGGAAGCTGAGTGCTTCCTCTTTAACCAGTGGCTGCGAAGCTGGTGTTGCAATCCTATAGGTTTCTGTTCTTGCAGCTGGGAGGTGCCTCTCTTACCTTGCAGCCCTCAATGCTTAGTATTTTTCTTGCATCAATCAGTGTTTCTTTACCAGCCTGAGTGGCTTCTGACTGGGTTTCCCTGCACAAGGTTCACAGCTCTGTCCTTACCCCATCTTCTCCCATCCTTTCTGAGCTCTGCTTTCATGTTTGCAGAGGGAAGTTGGTGGCCCCTTTTTAAGGGAGACAGAAGAACTCCACTTTAGCAAGAAACAGCAGAAGAGTTGGAGATGGGGGAGGGGCAGTGGACACATGTAGGAGAATGGGGTGGGTGAGTAACCCCTGAATAATGATGCTGTTAGAGACAGATTGTTCCTGGTTATGCTGATTGGTATTGTCTGTGCACCACTGACCTCTGCTGGACAGAATCAGAACTCAGCCGTGTGTCAACTCTCATCTCTTCTGCTGGCGTCTGATGGAGATTCTCTGACAGCTGCAGTGGCAGCGGACTGGGCTTTAGCCCATAGGGATCAGACTTCTTAGACAAGCCGCTGCTGTGAGGCTGTGTTGGTTCAGTGACACCCGTGCAGTAGTAGGTGTGGCTGGCTGTGTTACAATCAGCTTCTTATGGAAACGGACGGGATCTGAACCCTCCAAGCGGTGAGGAGGTTCATCTCCTTGTCCAGGCTGTGTGTGGCTTGGTCCCACATCTCATTTTGGGCAGCAGGAGAAGTGGAATGAGCGTTAAAACAGCAGGGAGGCATGTGAAAGCACACTGGGGCTGGTATGACTTTACTGTCTGCCGGGGTTGTCCATGCGTGTAAACGGCTCTTTTCCTCACAGACTTGTCTTCTCCCCGCTGCCTCACAGCTCAGAGTTGAGCTGGCCTCATGCTGAAAATGCAGAGCACGCCCAACTACCTCTGGAACATGGACGATGTGCTGGGCCAAGGGGCTACAGCCAGCGTGTACAAAGCCCGCAGTAAGGTGAGTGAGGGGCAGGAGGAGAGCACAGGATGGGATGCCCTGGGGGTGGGAAGCCTGAGTTGATTCGGTTGCAGCGCGCACATGCTTCTCTCGGGTGCAGAGTTTACTGGCAGTACATGGACCCACGTAGGCTCCTAATTCGATTTCCCTCCAGTCTGTCCAACCCAGCTCTCACACGCACCCCAGTGACGTGTGGCCAACCCCCCTCTCAACAACCAACCCTACTCTGATCTTCCAGCTGCCAAGACCTCCCAATTTGTTACATGCTTCCAAACCCTCCCACAAATTCCCAAGTGATGTGCACCCCAACGCAGCTCCCCGTAGCACCCCCCCCACCACACCGGAGCTACCAACCCTTCCCATGCACTCTCTTGCAACCTGCTCTCAACCGCCAATCCCCTGGCATGCCCTTCTCATCTCAACTATGTGTAAATTAGTCCTGGGTGGGTAGTTTCTATCACTATCACTCCATGCCCTGTTGGTGCCCTGCAGCCATTGCCTCATGCTGCGCAGCCCAGTGAGCAAAGCCAGGGTTGATTTTGTATCCGTACAGTTGATCATCATTTTACAGACCCTGCACTGCTCTCTTCCTCGAGCAAAGACAGCGGGCTGCAAAATCATCCAAGGCACTTTCTTGTTATAACCTGATCCAGGCCAGTTTTCATTCTGAGGCTGACTTAGGCCATGGTTTTCAAGGGGTCGTTTAGACTAAGGATATGGTTGGGTTTTTCAAGATGCCTTGGCTTATCTGTGTTCCCATTCTATGCCCATGGTAAAACTCCCTGTGACCTTGGGGGAAGGGAGGCAAATGCCGAACGTTTTTGAAAATGCCACCCATAATCATTGGAGTGTATCATGCATGAGTTCCAGGAAATGAACTCACTGGGATTGGGCCAGATGCTGATCAGTGTCTCTGCTCTCTGAAGTTTATTCAGAGGGTTGTCTCACTGCTCAGTTCAGAGTCGGGATTTGGAAGGAGATTCAGTTTAAAGGATGCTTTATAATGTAAACCACTAACTCTCATGGAGGAAAGACTGGGGGTGATGGTTTTGGGCCTCGCTGGAGATGTTTTACAGAACTGGATAAACATGTCCTGCTCAGCACCGTTCACCTGGGCTTCGGGGGCACAGAAGGAAGTGCAGTAAGCATCGCTGTCCTTGCTTTGCAATGGGGAGAATGGGTGAATCCGACAAAGAAACACATACATTGCCAGGATTGTTTGCTTTCCAAACTGCAATGTACTAACCATGGCTGAGCTATTTGGTCAGGACAGGAACTGCATGAGGGCGCCAGGCTGGGTATGAAATGGGGAACAGCACTAGGGAGAGAGTCAAACCACCAGCTACTGTACTGCAGCCGTGAGCGGCGGCGGTGAATGAACAGTGTGTTAAACCCAGGGCTACTCTGGAGCTTGCGGGGAGATTTTAAGATGACACAAAGGGGAATTTGATTTTCAATGGGAGCTGGGCATCTCACTTCCCTTTGCGCCTTTGCAATCCTCCCCCTTAATCCTTTCATTCCCAACTGGAAACTGAGCTGCCTTCTGGCTTCGTTTTTATCGTCCCCTCTAGAACAGAGCCGTCCCCACTCTACAGAGCATGTGTTGTCCACTAACCTGTTTTCCTGGCGGGTTAGCATTCCACCTGGGGGCTGCTCTCTCAATCTATCCTGTATCTTTTCTCCTCCTTGCCCAGAGATCAGGGGAGCTGGTTGCTGTGAAGGTCTTTAATAATGCCAGCTACCTGAGACCACAGGAGGTGCAGATGAGAGAGTTTGAGGTGCTGAGGAAATTAAACCATAAGAACATCGTCAAACTGTTTGCAGTTGAAGAGACTGTAAGTCTGTCACTAGCTCTACAGTGGGAAAGGTGTGGCTTGGGGGTAATGCAGCGGGACTTGGCTTTTAGCCGCTGTGACAGGGCACCCGTTGCCGGGATGTGCTTCCTGTGGCTTTTCTCTCCTCACCCTCAACCCTCCCTATTGTTTCAGCTCAAAGCACTTGACAAACATTCACTCGTGACGTCTCCCAGCATCCCTGTGGTGTTATTCCCCACTGCTGGATGGAGCATTGAAGTGACTTGGCCAAGGCCCCAAGCCAGCTGAGTAGTGCTGCTAGGAATAGAACTCAGGTGCCCTGCCATCACATCTGGTGCTTTAACCACTAGTCGACCCGGAATCCCACACCCTAGGGGATGGAGCCAAGTGTCCTGGATCGCACACTCTAGTGGTTCATTGGCCAATTCCTTCGAGTTCTGGGTGGGGTGTATTGTGTTAATCAAGGACTTCGTTTTGGGTGGCAGAGCTCATTTTCCCACCCAACGTTCTCTTGCCTGTGCAGTCAGTCGTCTCTGACTACTAGAGCCACGTAGGCTTCTTGGACAAGGAAGGGACACCACACTTCCGTGGACGGGGCAAGGGGTGGGACACAGCAGCCTGCCCCGGGACTCTGTGCATAACAAAGCGTCACAGGGTTACTGTTTCTCAGAATGCTGCTCAAAGGATCCATCTCTCCTTCTGCCCCCCAGACCCAGGGAAACAGCAAGCAGAAGGTGCTGGTGATGGAGTACTGCTCACGTGGGAGCTTGCTGAGTGTGTTAGAAGATCCAGAGAACTCCTTTGGCTTGTCTGAGTCAGAATTCCTCATCGTGTTGCATTGTGTTGGTAAGTCTCAGAGCTACTGGCTTGGGTGTCTGTGGCGGGAAAGGGGGATAAACGGGTGCTCGATGCAGCTAGTGGGGACATGGGATTTGCATTCTACTGTATATAAGAATGGCCACACTGGGTCAGATCAAAGGTCCATCTAGCCCAGTATCCTGTCTTCCGACAGTGGCCAATGCCAGGTGCCCCAGAGGAAATGAACAGAACAGGTAATCCTCAAGTGATCCATCCCCTGTCACCCATTCCCAGCTTCTGGCAAACAGAGGCTAGGGACACCATCCCTGCCCATTCTGGCTAATAGCCATTGATGACCTATCCTCCATGAACTTACCTAGTTCTTTTTTTTAATCTTGGCCTTCACAACATCCTCTGGCAAGGAGTTCACAGGTTGACTGTGTGTTGTGTGTTCCTTTTATTTGTTTTAAACCTTCTGTCTATTAATTTCATTTGGTGACCCCTAGTTCTTGTGTTATGAGATGGAGTAAATAACACTTCCTTATTTACTTTCTCCACACCAGTCATGATTTTATAGACCTCTATCATATCCCTCCTTAATCGTCTCTTTTTCAAGCTGAAAAGTTCCAGTCTTCTTATTCTCCTCCTGTACCAGCTGTCCTCACACTCAGCTCCTCGTCAGATCTGCTGTAGTGTAAAGATGTGGATGGGGGCAAAAACTAACTTACTGCATGCCTGGAGGTGCATTTTACAAAGCAGTGGGAATGGTGGAGAGTGAAGGCCTTTGTCTGCCGAATACACAGGGAGTATGGTCCCTCTGCCAGAAGTGCACTTCTCCCTACCCACTTGTCCTTTGCTGAGGCCAGCTGTGACTGTTAGTCAGTTCCCTTAAGAACTAAGACTGCCACATTCAGGCCACCAAATCCAGGCTGTCTGTCACTACTGACCCAGGCTGGATTTGAACCAGTGACTTGGCAGGTGAAAGACTCCATACCCTGGAACCGAGCCCTTCTACTGAGAGGCCATTTGATGGGTGGGCATCTCCATGAGCCTATGTTGGCAGGACTCTAGGTGCTGCAATGCTCTCGGTCCCTGTAGCAAGCCCGCCCTGAGCATGTCAGGAATGTCACCCTATGCTTCTCCATCGAGGTGCTTGGATTCTGATGATGCCCTCGGCATCCTGAGGGAGCTGAGAGACTTAACTGTGCAACTGAACAAGAAGGTAGGTTGTGCTCACGTTATCACATGTCTGAGATGGTACGGTTTGCCTGTGCGTGCTTCCCCTCTTTAGAATGGGCATCATGCTCATGAGTCTTCTCTGTTTATCACAAGTTCACGTTAGCTTCACCGGGTCTGAAAGCTGAACCCAGGGCCACCTGCCTGCCTCAATTCTAGTCCATACAGCTGCCTGTTTGCAAAGCCGGCTCAGAGAAGCGGAGGCCATTCTAAGCAGTCTCTCTCTTTCCCATTGTGCTCGTAGTGGCCGGCATGAACCACCTTCGTGAGAACAGCATTGTCCATAGAGACATCAAACCAGGAAACATCATGCGGCTGGTGGGGGAAGACGGGCAGAGCATCTATAAGCTCACGGATTTTGGGGCCGCTCGAGAGCTGGACGATGACGAGAAGTTTGTGTCCGTCTACGGGACAGAGGAATATCTTGTGAGTAAAGCAAAATGCCAGTGGCTTAACGAGCAAGAGTTCAGGAAGGACGGGTCACTTGTCTCAGCATACATGGTCTGGAACTGTAGGAGCATGGGCTGTTGCTATGCTTAGTGTATAATAACAATCCCTAGCTCTGCTATAGCACTCTGCATCAGTAGATCTCAAAAGTGTTTTACGTAGGAGCTCACTATCATTATCCCCATTTTACCGATGGGGAAACTGAGTCACGGGGGGGGGGGAATGTGACTTGCCCAGGATCATCCAGCAGGTCAGTGACAGAGCTGGGACTAGATCCTAGGTGTCTAGTCTCAGGGTACATCTACACTTACCAGAGGGTCCGGCGGCAGGCAATCGGTTTTCTGGGATCGACCTATCGTGAAGACGCGATAAAATCGATCCCTGATCGCTCTGCCGTCGACTCCGGAAATCCACCGCGGCAAGAGGCGGCAGCGGAGTCGACGGCAGCGCGGCAGCGGTCGACTTTCCCCCGTCTTCACAGCCAGGTAAGTCGACCTAAAATACGCAACTTCAGCTACGGTATTCACGTAGCTGAAGTTGCGTATCTTAGGTCGGACCCCCGCTGTAGTGTAGACCTAGCCTAAGTCCGTTGCTCTGTCCACTTAGAATGGACGACCTCCTCTGTCCCCAAGCGTTTCATTCATAGACACTCATTTGCTTGAACTTCACTTTCTGTGGCCAAGGTTTTTGAAAGTAACTGGAGATTTGGAGTGCCTCAGTTTTGGGGAGCCCAGCTTACAGGGACCTGATTTTCGGTGCCTACGTTTTCAGAAAACCAAGCCCTCTGAAGTGTCTCAAGTTGGGCACCCAAAAATGGAAGAACCCTAAATCACTAGTCACTGGGGAAATCTTGGCTTCCATGACCGACCTGCTGTAAGTAAAGCAGATTCATTCACAATGCTTTTCTTCCACTTCGTCTCATTAGCACCCGGACATGTACGAGCGAGCAGTTCTGAGAAAACCCCAGCAAAAGGCTTATGGGGTGACTGTAGATCTGTGGAGCATTGGGGTAACCTTTTACCATGCTGCTACGGGCAATCTCCCATTTATCCCCTTCGGCGGACCTCGCAGGAATAAAGAAATCATGTAGGTAGTGCCGCCGACAGGAGTGTGGTATTTAAATGGGCTTTGTGTTGTCTGTTTTGGCTGAGTTTGGTGAATTGAATTGTGTCCTAAAGTGAGAAGCTGTAGTGACAAGTGGACGAGGTAGGCTACATGGAGAGCTAACAGTGCACCCCAATCCTGACCTGCAATACCTCCTGCTCTGCCAGTGCTGTGTGCCCCTCCAGATCTGCCAGTGCCTCCCAGTCCTTGTGTTGCATGCTTTTCTCGAGTCCTGCCTCTGTCCCGATACGAGGCTCTGAGTCTCAGATGTCTGCTGAAGACCCATTTCAGCTACCGACTCCTCATTGTGCTCTTTTCTATAAATGTGGAATTGCCCGGGTCTGTTTGTGTTTATGCACCTTAGCTTACTGATGATTTAATCACCCAGATTCTCATGTATACTTTAGATCTGCTGGAAGTGTAGCCTGTGGCTGGCTTCATCTGCAGTTCCCAGCATGCCCTGTTCCATGCTGTTCTTAGGAGAGGCCTCTTGGGGCAAGATAGAACACGAACGATGTAGTAGGGACTGCACTTTCTGTGGGGCTGCCCCATCTTGGCAAGTCACCAATGCAGCCCCTGCTATTGACCGCCCCTGTGGTTAGCACTACAGGGGCGGGCACTAAAGCCCCCTTGGAGACCAAGCCGGCTGTGCTGTCCCTAACTCAAGTACATGAGGGATTAACTGAGTTCTGCTCAGAGTGAGCATCCAGGCAGGAAGACGGCAGAGCTGCAGTTGGCAATCAGTGCCCCTTTCTATGGTATGTTTGCCCTGATAACGGTGTTTCTGTGGCTTTGTGGTTTAACGGCTGAAAGACGGGGCAGCTTCTGACTTGACTTCCATGCTGTTGCTTGAAATGTCCTCCCTTCCCCCCACGCACCGTCTTCTGAAAGCGATGCAGCTTTTCCCCCGAGGGATGATGCAAACAGGTTTTGGATTTTTCTTTTCATACCTTTGTACTTCTGGGTTGGGGGTTGATCATTCTGGATCACAGCTTCAAAAAGCAGATGCCTAAATGGCACCCAGGAAACAGGCAGGTGCAAACTAGTCTAAGCGTGTGTGGGTTATGTGGCTGTACGTGCAATTTCCCATTTGCTTCGCTAGCACGCACAGTCTCTGCTCGCTTGTTCCTGTTGGTCTGGTTTTCCATGCGCGATTTAGGCACCTCTTGGTGGTGGTAAATTTTGGTTCTGTCAATTGAAACTCCTCCCTGATGATGTGGGAAGGTGGAGACTGATTTTCTCCTTAGCCGCTCCATTTCACTCCCTCTCTCTGCCCGTATCCCCTACAACTTGCCAAGAAGTGGTTGGAATGTGCCAAGGGGAGGCCGGTTGTCCAGTTTCCACACACAAGAAACGACTTTTCTTTCAACAGGTATAAAATAACGACCGAGAAACCCGCTGGAGCTATCGCAGGTGTCCAGAGGCAGGAGAACGGGCCCATTGAGTGGCGCTACGAGCTGCCCATCACCTGCCAACTGTCTGTGTGAGTATTGGAGGGGTTGGGGTTAGCCTGCAGTCTCTGCTTCCAGAGAGCTGTCCCGCCTCCTGCTTTGGTCATAGAGCCTCCAACCAGTCAGTGAGTTGCATGGCCAGAAGTGCTGCTTTGGGTTGGAAAAGAGCACAGGGACTCTGCTCTGCCCTCGGCATACTCCAGGGATGTAGTTATGGCATGCAAACGTCCCTCCCCTAGATTTGCTCCTCCCATAGTGCCTGGACCAAGCGCGTCTGTAATCATATGAATACCTCTATATAAAGGATATCTTTCAATGGTGCTTACGGAGACGTACACGCCTTGTTCTATGGGATTTGGGCACTGAACATCTCAGCTGTAAAAGCCTACTCATTCCATCTGCTGGACTTCTCCGTGCATCCCATTTTCTCTGTCTTTGATTATAAGCTCTCGGGGGCGGGGACTGTGTGGTGCGTGTCATGCATGCTTACATAGCATAGCTGTGCGCCCCCCCTCTAGTGGCTGGACTGCAGAGATGGTTGAGTTGGCTACATCCTTTGAGCCAACAGAGGTGGGGCTTTTTGCTCAGGCAGTGGAGGCTCTTGCGTGTTGATCATAAGGTGCGTTACTTCAATCCCAGCTACCCACGACCCTCCCGAGTGTCCCTTGTCCCATACAGCGCTGGGCACATGGCTGGTGTTGAAATAAATAGCCTTGAGCATGATTAAGACTTTCGGAGCAATACAAGGCTCTAAAAAGCTATGATTGAAGCCTCAAAGAGAATGTGTGGAGCCCATTGCTATCTCTGTGCCCTTCATTATAGTCGTCTGTGACTGTATATCTGTCTCCTGTGAGGTACTCATTAATATGTACCTGGGGCCTGATTCTCATTTATGTTAAGGCTGGAGTGGTATAAAGGGCCTAAGTGTATATAAAATGCCTCAAAACAGTTAGTGTTTGTCCCATGCTATAAATCTGGGGAAAGAGAATTTGCCCATTTTGTCACATTATCTCTCTCAGTTGAAGTGACTCACGTTGTTTTGGTTAATTCCAAAATTTCCCACTATTGACAGTGTCTATATTAATCCTTTCACAGTAGAAGATAGCTTGGGTACTTAAAATCAAAATTTAGGGTGTAATCGTGCCGTGAGTCCTTATTGAACCTAGCAGCCCTAATGACTTATCACTGGGATCAAGCCCATAACCAGTATGCGAGCATATCATTGTCTTAAATAACTTGGAGACTTCTCACAGCCATGTTAATCTGTAGCAGCTGCACTACTGTGTGGGATTTTAGTTTAATAATTTCTGCAATGTGTTCTGACTTTCGAGGTGATCCTGAAAGTTCCACTGTCTCTTCTCTTTCTCCAGGAGCTAAATGGTTAATCTTAAAACCCCAGCCAGGGAGGTTCTTTTTGTCAATGAGCTCCCCAACTTCTATCTACTCCCTCTCTTCCCATGTGTCTCAGTTGTGTATTAACACAGGCTCATAATTAGAGAATGAGACTCTGGGCCAGAAAAGCCTGGGTTCTGTTCCTGGCGCCGACTCCCGGTGCTGTATTAGGCCAAAAAAAAAAAAGTGGTTAACTTGGGGTTTTTGGCATTTTCCCCTCTCTGTGCCTCTGTTTTCCCATCTGCAAAATGTAAATAATTATATTCACCTACAACACAAAGCAGTTTGGATTCATTCATGTTTGTAAGTGTCTAGGACAGGAGCGCCACCAGCTTTTTTGCCACCCTAGGCGGCGGAAGGTCCCGCCCCCGAAATGCTGCCCCCAACAGAGGCGGCAGAAGGTCCCGCCCCCGAAATACTGCCCATGACCGGGGGGGCCGAAGATCCGGCCACCGCGGTCGCCACCCCCCCCCAAATGTTAGCGCCCTAGGCAACCGCCTACGTCGCCTAATGGGTTGCGCCAGCCTTGGTCTAGGAGGAAGTGCATTATGTGAGGGCATTGGAAAAAATATACATCACTGGTGCTCCATTTTGGAACAGTCTTTCTAGTACTTTGTAGCCTCTGTCCCAGTGTCCTTTCTCTTAACATGCTTTGAGGTAATAGTAACTTATAACCCCCCCCCCCCACTTCCTCTCCTCGGTGCCTTGCCTATGCATGGCACAAGGCACAGTTCATGAGAGGAGGAAAAATGAGCCGAGCACCTAATTCCAATTCTACTTCTTTTGTACAATGAGTGAGTTTCTTTATGTAGTTCCCCAGAGACATCAGAAGCTGAAGTTTCAGTGCTAAGGCACTGTCCATCTGCAGCAAAAGGCCACCCTTTGTATCTGCATTGCCTTCAAACAGCTGATGAAAACTAAAGAAATAAAATTCTGTCGACACCCTTCTGATAATCCGTGTGAAATATACTGCCAGGGAATTAGGACATTTCCAATGTGGGCAAGTGTCCACATTGTAAAACACACCAGTACCGTAAAAACCATCCCTGCTCCTCCCAAGTCTATTTTGTTCCAGGTCTTGTACTGTGCCCCTTGCTGTGCTATCTGGGCACCTGAGGTCAGGGTTGAAACCTATGGATGGGGCAAGGTGAACACTTTACTAAAGCTTACCTGAGCAATGGTTTTCCCATCCTGTGAAAATTTTCAAGTTACCGAGAATTTTTCTCATCCTAAATTGGGAGGAAGAGTCGAAATCTAGAAAATTTGCATGAACCAACCCCCCCCCCCCCCCCAAAAAAAAGTTCCGTTTGTGCCAATCAAAACTTTTTGTTCTGGTTGCAACTTAAACTCTTTTTAGTTTAAATTCACTACAGTTTTGAACAAGGCCTTTTGATTTGAACAAAACTTTTCACTTTGAAAATGTTGCAATAGGGGGTTTCAACCCTTCGGGGGGGGGGGGAAGAAATCCGATCCTTTTTTTTTGAGTTGGGAGATGGACACTGTTTCGCAAACAGCTTCGGCTTGAACGAGTGGGCGAAAAACCAGTTAGTCAAAATATTCCCAAGCAGCTCTACACTTAAGCTGCTGCTGCTGTCTGTGCCATCCCTCTCCTGTGGCTAAAGAAGGGGTTTCAGTCTCTAGGGCTGTCAATCCAGCACCTCTCGCCAGCCCTAAAGTCACCTTAAAAGAAAAGGCATTCATTTCTTAAACCCTCCCCTCGCTTCCCCCCCCCCCCCCCAATCTTTCCATCCTATCAAGATGAGGCTTCAAGGATTCAAAAGAGATTTATATTCAGTCTGTCTCTTCCTGCCTGACAGCCTGTGAACCCATCTATTTATTCTCTGTTACATCCGCAGGGAAATGAATATTGGGAAAACAAACTCTCTGGGTCCTGAGTTTGATTCATTTGCGAGGGCTAAATTGTAATGGAGCATCTGGAGAAATGCATGTGACAAGCCCATGGATGCTGGATGAATATTGTATAGGGCTGTGTCAAGGAAAGCTGAACGTATCCTTAATGATGACAAAGCGTAGGCCATGCGTTCCTGAGAGCTCGTCAGGGAAGCTATTTGGCCATGCCATGAAATGGGGAGTAAGTGGCATACAATTTGATGATGTCATCCTTATAATTCCCAGTCCCATTCCGTTTGAAGTTGATTGGAAAGATTACAAAGGGAGTTGGATCAGGATCATAGAGTGCATGGGTGCTTAACCTGGGGCACATGCTTTTCATCTGTAGATTTCAAGGCACTTTACAAAAGAAGGTCTAGTAGTATCTCCATTTTACAGAGGCACAGAAAGGGGAAGTGACTTGCCCAAGGTCTCACAGAGGTCAGTGGCAAAGCTGGGAATAGAACCCAGGTCTCCTGATTCCCAGTACAGCATCCTATCCATTGGAACGCACTGTCTTCTGTTCATTTTATTTTTTACTTTTTATTTTATTTTGTGTGTGTGTGTGTGTATGTATATGTGTATATATATGTGTGTGTGTGTGTATGTATGTATGTATATATATATATATATATATATATATAGAGTGTGTGTGTATATATATTAATAATAAAACATCTTCATTTCCTTTCCTTCACTTCAGGGGGCTGAAGAGCCAGCTCATCCCCATTCTGGCTAACATTCTGGAAGTTGATCAGGAAAAATGCTGGGGCTTTGATCAGTTTTTTGCTGAAACCACTGACATCCTGCACAGGATAGTGGTCCACGTCTTCTCCTTGCAGCAAGCTACCATGCACCGGGTCTACATCCATGCCTACAACACGTAAGCACGGCTTAGCCCCTGGCAAATCTGGGAGAAAAATCCAGGAGTCCTGAGTCGCAGGCCAAACTTTCACTGCAGGTTTACGGTGTGAGCCTGGGAGAGGCACGTGTTCTCTTTGCACCTCAGCCAAACTGGCTGAAAAACCAGTGGGAAAAGCAGAAGGTTCAATTTAATGCTGAGCTGCGCTTTCCCAGGGAAGTGTATCAGCTGGAAGGGGTTGCTTATTGCTGTCCCCTATATGCCTGCTCTGCTGCTCTCCACTGCACAGGAGGCTGCATTTCATTGGAGGAGAAGTGATCCTTGAGTGGTTTTTTTGCTCGTATTGGGCATAATCCGAAACCCATTGATGTCAAAGGAAAGTCTCCCCCTGACTTCACTGGAAGTTAGGTCAGACTGCTAAAGCGTTCAGGTGACAGAATGCTAGGGCAATGGCAATCCACAATAAATATCAGTGTAAACAAGTCTGATGCCGCATGCTGCCGGCCGGGAAGCTTTGCTGGATCCCAACCGAGCTTCCTTTAGTGAATGATAAACTCAAGAGTAGGACTGGGGGGGTGGACAGAATAATAGCGAAACTACTGGCTAGTGTGTGAAATTATTTTGGTTGCTGATAGCCTCGTGTTTTATTTCCCTTCCGTTCCCTTGTTTGTTTTTTGTTTCAGTACCACCATATTTTTAGAAGCTGTCTTCACACAGACAAATATAGCCCCTCACCATCAAGAATATTTTTTTGAAGGTCACCCGTATCAATTGGAACCCAGCCTGCAAGCTCACAATTTCTCCAGAACCACAGAAAATAGCCCACTGACCTTGCTGAGCAGTGTACCGGAGGAACCCGTGGGAGTGAGATTCAGAGATCGTGAGTACAGTCATCTCGTAAAATGGAGCCTTCTGCTTCCCGTCCAGCCATTTGAGCTCTTCTAGTGGGTTTAGTTTCCGCCATCTATGTATGCACGCATATGGTCACGCTTGCAATGTCCTCCTGATACAGGGCTCTTGGTCACTTCATTTGGAGTCACTGCAGAACTGTAAATTATTAGGGCAAAGTTCAACAGAGAGGAAGGGATGGTTTTGTGGTTAAAGGCATTGGACATGGTTGGGTTGGGTTCAGTTTTCATCTCTGAAACAGATTTTCTGTGTGCTCATGGGGAAGTCATTTAGCTTCTCTGTGCCTCTGTCCCCAATCTGTAAAATGGGAGTAATAATAATACTCTTTTCCCACCCTTTGTCTGTCTCGTCCATTCAGATTACTCTTTAGGGTGGGAACCACCTCCTGCAATGTCTCTGTAGAGTGCCTAGCACAATGGGGCCAGGACCTGGCTGAGACATCCGGGTGCTACCATCAGTTAATAAAGTCTGAGCTCTGCTCTGCCCTGCTGAACCCAGAGATGTGGGCGAGTGATCTGAGCGCAGGACTAGGAGCAAGGAATTCCTAGCTTCTCATCTCAGAGCTGACACAGATTCCCTCTATGAACTTGAGTGAAAATTTTCTGCCCCTCATTCTCTATCTGTAAAATGTAAATTGTTTAGCCATGTCTTAAAGATATGAAGAGGATTAATTAGTTAATATTTGTAATTCACTTGAGAGATCAAAAGTGCTCTCTACCTGCTAAGTACTTTTGTGTATTAGGATCCACACTGCAGTTCTCTGCTTTATATCCTCTCTTTATTCCATGTGCAGAACTCCAGGGCAAAATGTGTTGCAGAGACCCACAATGTGAGCAGGAGAGGAGAAGGTTACCCTTCCCATTAGATTAGACAGAGAAGTGCCCATAAAGCCTTCAGGGAAGGATGCTTTCTGTGTTGATGTCTGTACAAAAAACATCGGTTGAGATGAGAGTGGCAGACAGTTACATTCCTGCTTGGGTTTTGTGCACAGGAGCTGATGGTACAACTTCCAAGATGTAGGGTAAAATTTTAAACATTTCCTATGTGACTTAGAAGCCTAAGTCATTTTTGAAAGTAGAACTTGGACTTCTAAGTCACATGTGAGATTTGGAAAATGTCCTCCCATATCTGGTGTAATACCTGTGGTTTGCCTAAGTGGGCACTAGATGTCACTGCTGATCCACAAGAGTGCAACTCCATGAGAGATTCCCTGTTAATGAAGCAAACATGAAGCACAGAGGTCCCTCTGTATAGCGGGTGATATAGGAAATGTACCCACAAAGGGCTCTGAACGATGTCTTTGTTTTCAGCGTCACTTGAGTTTCCAAAGTTTGTCCCAAAGGTTGATGTCCTAGCTGACTGCAGCATGGCAAAGGTATGTTGGGGATTTCAGCTCAAGATTGAAATAGGCTTTGGAAATCACACTCAAGTGAAGGAGTGGTCATTGGCAGTGCCCTTTTGCCTTCTAGGGTGTCCTGAGTGCCGTTCACCAGACACTGAAGATCTCTCGGTCACTTTTGAAATGTCAAGAGTTTATTCTGAGAGGTCTTTACTGGGTGATGTAAGTACATGACAGCCAGTGTACCCTGTTGGTGCTGTGTAAAGAACAGCCGGAACTGTTTGATTTCTTTTCTCTCTGTGTAGCTGATAGAAATATCTTGTGTTTGAGAACCAGATCGCTTGCTCAGACAATCCCCCAATAGTATTCTACAGCGGTGCTCCAAATCCTGCAGTGTCACTGCATATGCTGCAGTGGTTTGGATCAATACTATTGAGAGAGAGAGAGAGTGTGTGTGTGTGTGTGTGCGCGCGCGCATGTGTAATGTTAGATGTAAAAAAATAAAACAATTTGGGGATATTCTCTCTGCTTCTGAACTGCAGAAGGGTGCGTGCATGTGTGTGAATTAGAGACACCCGAGGGCTTCATTCAGAGCATGTGTTCCAGATGGAATCCTTGTCCCCACTGTGGCTGAGCACTCGTCACAGTCTGACACCGATGGGTCGGTTCAGGCCAGGGTGGCAAATATAGCAGTGTTAATGCACATAGTACAGTGTCTTGCCTGTTTAGACTCTAAGCTCTTTGGAGCAAGAACTCTCTCATGTTATAGGACCCCCGATATCAGGTGATCAGAGTAAATGATAGAGCTGTGTATATTCTACCGTTCATGGTTACAAGCACCCAAAGGAAACCCTGAAGCACAAGGCTGGGGCTTGAGGGGTGGGGAGAGGCAGATGTGGTTGGAAGCAAGTTAAGAACATAAGAACGGTCCTACTGGGTCAGACCAAAGGGCCATCTACCCCAGTATCCTGTCTTCCAACAGTGGCCAATGCCAGGTGCCCCAGAGGGAATGAACAGAACAGTGATCCATCCCCTGTCGCTCGTTCCCAGCTTCTGGCAAAGTGGGTTTGCAAACGGGCAAACACTCAAAGTTCAGCTGCATTGCACCCCTTGGGTGAGGGGAGTTGGAGGATTCCAGACAAACCTGTCTCTTTGCAGTGAGAGCCTGAAAGCCAAGTGCTCCCGTGTTGTGGAGAGAAGGGAAGCGGCCGTTTCGATGCTGAGCTGCTTGCAGCATACCGAGCTGAAGGCCTTCGTGTTGTAAGTATCGCTTTGTTGCTGTCACTTCTGCAGCAAGGGGTAATGCAGGCGCCAGTGCAGGATGCTCTGCAGCTGTGCACATGTGGTCATGGCACTGAGCTATGTCTGTCCCACGCGTGGGCTGGTCCAGTAGGGGCTCTGCACAGGCCCTTGTCACTTGAGCTTGAAGAGAAGTTATTGCAGCTCTCAGAACGTTAGGGATTAAGAGGGAAAGTTTCCAAAACTCCTGCATGACTCAGGAGCACAAGTCTAGCGGCAAGCCACTGGGATTTGTGCTCCTCACTCACACTGGGGCTTTGGAAAAATCCACCTGAGGCCTCTTTGGTGGCCCCCACCTACTGGACTGGGGCGTCAGTTATAGGACTCTTGGTTAATATAAATCCAAAGGCCATGTTCTCTTCTCCAGACTTGGGACGATGTAGGTTTCCCACCTTCTGTATTGAGGCATCTGCTGCTCTCGTGCGTGACAGAAAAATGTGTAGAGCTCCGTTAACGTCTCTGTGGTGAATCTGGTGCTGCCTATTTAAATCCTGGGATGGGGAGCAGAACTCACCAGGGTAACAGCAAAGGCCACGTGCGCAGCCACAGAACCCAGAACTTAACTGACTGCAGGAGACACAGAATCAAAAACAAGGGCAGAGCATGTAGCTCACAAGGTGCAAACAAGGGATCCAGAGGGGAACACCAGGCAGAGAATTCCCCTGACAGCCAAGGAGGCCGAGGTCCTTTATTATCCGCAGAGCTGGTACAGCATGGAAAGTAAGCAGTGCGGTATCCCACTGCTCCCCCCACCAGTGTAGAGTACCTTCACCCTGACCGTCTGAGCCACTTTCCCATTCTGTTTCCAGGGCCCATTCAGTCCTTGTCCTCTGTGCTGAGATCTTCAACCCATGGTGGCAGTTTTGGTGAGGTGGACACCAGTCCACTAGGAACTGGATCTAGTTCACCACTCGAGGCAGCGCTTGGCAGTGCAGCCTATTGGATAGAGCACTGAGCTGGGACTCAGGAGACCCAGCTTCTATTCCTGCCTCCTGCCCTTTGGTGACCTTGCGCAAGTCATTTCCTCGCTCTCTCCCTCAGTTTCCCCATCTGTAAAAAGTAACTAATGACACTGGTCTCCATTATAAAACGCGTTGAGATCTACTGATTAAAAAGTGCTATACAAGACCTTGATATTACTTTTATTCCTGAAGTAAAGTGACCAAGGCAATGCTCTGTGCAGGAGGAACTTGTCAGGAGCCCTTGCTGGTTATCTGTAGGTATTGTGCTCCAGATGATTGGGGCAGTGGAGAAAGAGACTTGTGAGTAAACTGGGTTGCTGGTGAGTGTTATGTTCCTGCAATCCTTGTACGTGGGGAATGTGCAGGAATGTCTGAGCTGAATGGTTACCCTTCTCCCCACCGCTCCCCCCAATCAGTCTCCACTTTCATAAGAACTTGGATTTTAGTCCCTGGTGGTCTGGCTGCTCTCTGGGGTTTTTCAGATTGAATATTACAGGGTACGGCAAACCTATATAAGCCACAGAGATGAAGTCATAGCGTAAATTCAAGGAGACACCAGTGCTGGAATCTTCAGCTGAATGCAAATGGAAAAAAAGAGCCGTGTTGCTCGGTAAAATGAAAACCGCGTTAAGAGTTACACTGCATTAACCTAAATCCCAGGGGGAGGTCAGTCAGACCGAGACATTGTTCTCCCAAGGGAATGGGTGGAATCCCTGTCCTTTTGGACAAAACCCTGTAGAATCTACTATAAGGAACAATTCTGCATTCGCTCTGGAGGATGGATGTGCGTCTTCTGTCTCTAATCTCTAGGTTTCAGACCCATTACAGTGCATTTCTGCTGAGTGCTGCCTCCAGCCTGACCGCACTCCTTATGTTGATGTGCCTTTTATTTCCATTTAAGAGGCTCCATTAGTGGAACTTCCATCAGAGACCAAGTTACAGGGAAATCTCAGACAATCCTACTAAATACATCCATTGCTGTCACTGCTGCTCCAGTGAAATCCAAGCCTACCCTTGGTCATTTAGCTCTTGCGTCTTTGTTTTATCACCTCAGGGGTGGAAAATGGTTTATTTGGGATTGGGTTATTTTATTGCTGAGAGAGCTGCCTAGGGGGATTTAGAGGTGTGATTCCCATTCATTTCAATGGGAGTTGTGATTGTAAATCTCCTAGATGCCTTTGAAACTTCCAGCCTAAGAGGAGGGTTTTCATTTGCCCAGGTGTTATCTGTCCCTCTTAGCCCAGAGCAGGAAAAGCCCCTCTGAATCCGGCCTCTGGTTTAATAAAGCTTTGATCTGTGTCTAATAGGTATGATTCTGTTTCTGGAGGCAACAGTAGTCCAGAGCTGAAGGATCTGGCTGAGGTGAAAACAAGGCTGCAGACTGTGAGTATGTAGCTCCAGCTATGGGTGTTATGTGGGAAGGAGCTGAGAAGCCCATGTGGAACTTCTCTGATTAATGGAGAGCCCTGGTCTGGACCTTTTCTTTCCCACTGTAGGTCACTGAAGACCTCACCAGATGTTCCCACAGCATCTCCGAACATAAAGGGACATTGGACTCTCTTTTGTCTGAGTTGGTAAAGCACAGGAAACAGGCACATGAAAATAGGTTTGTAGAATAAGCTTTTGTTTAATGTTGAAAAACATTAATATATTTTCATATGCAACTGTCTGTATATTGCTGTACACACCTACTTCTAGTATGTGCATATATTGATGTATAAGTTACAGTACACTACCAATATTTGCAAACACAGTTAATAGTACGTTTTATATTCATATTACTTTGCATTTAAGTGCAAGATAGTGATAATTTTATGTCAAATATGAGTGGTGTACTGTATATATGCATATACAGTTCCAGTACACTGCCAATATTTGGCACCTTATTTTGCACTATATATTTAAGTAATAATAGCTGTACCATTATTAGCATTAATAATATTACTTTGGACATACTATAGCGCCTTTCATCCATACAGCTCCAGGCACTTTCTTAACATATCATTATTGTTATGGGAAAACTTTGGAAAATTGGCACCAAATATTTCAGCATTCCCCCCCTCCCCCATTTTTAGTCTGTTCTAATAATTATCCCCATTTTCATAAGTGGGAAAATGGAGTCAGTGGCAGGACTGGGATTAGAACTCAAGACTGTCACACACATCATAACTAACCCCCTGCCAAGATGCAGGATTAGACTAGATGACTCTTGCGGTCCCTTCCAACCCATGGGTCTATGATTCTTTGACTGTCAACTCCCAGGCCCAGGCCCTACCTACTGGACCATACTGCCTGTAACCTTCTAGTAATGTTCTTGGTGCATGTGCGTTGGCCAGCTGTGATTCTAGGGAGCATTATTTCATTTCAGGCTACTTATCTGGAACTTGTTTCACTTTCTGCTATGAGAACAATTCAGTCCCAGCTTCTAGAGAAACATGCGTATAAATGTGTATGCACTTAGGTACTATAGTCTCTGGTGGCATTTGATCTCAAGGATGCTCTTTATCATTCTTATCTAACATTTGCGTTGAGGATGCCAGTTTCCTGGATTAGAGTACTAGGGACTGTCTTATGGTATTAATAAAGCCAGATCCTGAGCTTTTCCCCAGGAGCCAGAAGAGATTGCACTCAGAAGCCTCTGTGTTTCCAGGTCATTGCTGTTTAAACTAAGCTATATTTAGAATGCTGCTTATTTTTATAATGTCCATCATGGCAAGTGTCACAATGCCCGTTATGGGTGAATGTCGATAATAAGCTTAGGTGAGAAGGAGAAGTTTGGAGGGACGAGACTCCCCTTTGGAAGGAGATGGGGAGGTTGCCTCAGGCAAATGGAGCAGTGCAAATGAATCGACAGCTATAGAAAATGAAGGCGGTGTCAGGGGAGTAATTGTCCAGAAGCCAAACCTAAAGGAGCAGAGGAGTAGGTGAAGGTGAGGTTAAATGGAGACGGGAGGGGCAGCGTAGGTGGAGGTGAGGCTGGCAGAGCAAGTCTCTGGGAAGGTTTGACAAGCAGAATGTGGTCTCGGGCACCAGCTCCTAAATACACCCACTTCTGTGACTCAGTTTGAGGTTTTCTTGGTGGGCTCCCAATTTCCCCTTTAGCTCAAGGGTGTTTAAGTGCCTCCCCACCCATGACATGCCACACCGGCCAGCTCTGTTTTTATTTGAATGCCCGAGGAGTGGACCCATGAAAAATGCCCAGGCCCTGCTCCAGGGAGCTTGCAGCCTGCTCCTGGCACAAGCACAATATTTCAGAGGTGCAATACGTAGGGGTTAAAGTAGATTGAAACAGGAGGGGAGTTCTCACTGCACCAGCTGAGCTAATAGGAGTGGGAGCTACTCTCCCCAAGCCTGGGAGGGAAGGGGCAGCACCCATCTGCTATGAGCAGAGGTGGCAGAGCTATGTTCCTCTCCGTCCCGCTACCCACCATCACAATCCCTGGGCTAATACAAGCTGAGGGTGCGGGAGAAGAAGCTTGCAATAGGCACCATTGGGAAATCTCTTTTGGAGCAGGCAGGGCCACCCGGGGGGGGGGGGGCAAGTGGGGCAATTTGCCCCAGGCCCCACAGGGGCCCCCACGAGAATATAGTATTGCAGCTTTTTTTATGGAAGGGGCCCTCGAAATTGCTTTGCCTCAGGCCCCCTGAATCCTCTGGGCGGCCCTGGGAGCACGGACTGTGCTGCTTTTCTGCTTGGAAAATGCCTCGAACATTGCAGGCGCTACTGGAACCAACCAACCACAATAACAGGTGTGTGTTAAGGATGAATTTGCATGATCCTGGTCTCCTGTGGGAAGAGTTGCAGGACAGCCTTCTTTGGCCAGGCCTTGCTCGCTGATGAATTCCTGGCTGGCTGCCGCAGAGGGAGATGGGGTTTAAGCTCTTTTGAGCCTTTCCTGCACTGAGCTTTTAGTTAAAATCTCCCACTTGTGCATCCCACCTCTGTTAGCAACAGTGGGAGCCTTGGTGTGGACTGGACACTGGTATCTTAACCAGTGTGTCGTCTAACCCCACTCGGAGCAGGGCTAAACAACACGGCGGTAAAAGCACCTGCTTGCGCTCTTTCTATGCAAGGGCTTCTGCTGGGGGAGCCATGCCTGCAGCTGATGCAATGCTGGGAGACTTCACACAAGGCTCAGTGTCGATGCAGCCTTCTTAACATCTTGAATGTCTCCGCTTAAGTCTAGTGAGATGCCTGGGCACCCCGATGTAAAGGCTAGTAGCAGTACTAACAAGGAGGGAGTTGGTGGTTCGTTGTGTGAGGAGACAAGTGAAGGCCTCAGGGCTGGTCTTAGCCACCTAGATTTCAAAGTCCGTGTGTAGAGCTTTCCATTTGTCAACCTCAAAGGGCTTTACAAAGGAGATCAGTATAATTATCCCCATTTTACAGAGGGCGAAACTGAGGCATAGAGAGGGGACGTGCCCAGGGTCATGCGGCAGGCCAGTGGCAGAACTGGGAAGAGAACCCTAGTTATCCTGAATCCCAGTCCAGGGCTCTATCCACTTGGGGGCACAGCCTCCGCTTTGCGCTCTGTGCGACTCACAGGGAAATGGGTTGCTGCAGACCCAGCTCCTCCTCTGAAACGAGGTTTAATTGAACATTTGGATGGAAAGAAAACGCATCTCATGTCCTGGTTCCACAGCATCCGGCAGATGGAGTGCTGCCTCGAGAAGATGCAGCTCATATACAAGCAATTCAAGAAGACCCGGATGAGTCCGCGTAAGTAGCTGAAGTTGGTGAGTTAGGCACCCAACTACCATTGACTTGAACACCGTTAGAAAATTTCAGCTGTAGTTTTTTCCTCAAGAGGTCTCTTGCTATAGTGTAGCAGCTGTGAGTATATGTAGGTACATTTATCAGTCTGTATGAATGTGGAAGGTCCCAGTGTTCTTTCCCGGCACATGACCAATAAGTATCTTTCTCTTTTCTAGGGCTAGCCTACAATGAGGAACAAATACACAAGCTGGATAAGTAAGTAAATAACCCATTGTTCCAGGGTCTTGAATGCCTGGCCATAGTTAACTGGGCCGTTCAATGTCTGACATTTCTGGTTGCCTTTTGAGGAGACTCAAAACGTTCTCAGATTATTAATGCTAAGAATGTCTGGCCTGTAAATGACTTCCATGTCAATCAGTTTATCGATTCCAGCCCTTTCCTCCCAGCCGAACTACAAACTGCTTTAGGAGAAAGTGCAAGAAACCCCATAGTGTAAATATATGTACCCTGTAAGATCTTTGGGGCAGAGACTGTCTCTTCATTATGTGTATACAGCACCTAGCGCAAAATGGCTCAATCCGTGACTGGTGCCTTGAGGCACTATCACATTACAAATTAAAACGAATAGTCATGGAGAATGATGAGACAACCTGCCTGCAGGTTACTGCCCGCCAGCAATTAGTGGCTGGCTTATGCGTGAAGACCCCTGTTCAGGAAAGCAATTAAGCCACACGCTTAACTTTCGGTGGGAATTAGGTATCTAAATGGCACTTGTTCTTTTTAAAATCTCCCCCAAACCCAACCAAAGCCAATGGGACTTAAACAGATGCAAAACGTTAATCACATGCTTAAATGCTCACCTGACACAACAGAGTTTATTCCCCCTATATATTTTATCAGATCTAATGTTACTGTGGACTGTCTCATTAAACTTGAAGGTGGAGACTTTTCAAAAGCACCTGTGGGATTTAGGAGCAAACGTCCTAATAGCTTTCAGTGGGACTTGTGCTCCTAAATCTCTTAGATGCTTTTGGAAAATCTCCCATTAAAGAGAGTCTCCCTACAAATTTTTGCCTGAGACTTGTTTTTACACCACAGCAGAATTTGCCTTGCCTTCAGAAAGTGCAGCGCCCCCGCCCACCTTTCCTTTCTGGAGACCATCTCAGCACTCATGTTACTTCAGCGATGGTACTGAATCCCACCCAAATAATACTCATTTTCTTTTTCCTCTCCCCCAATCTTTTCAGGATGAATTTAGGGCATTTGGCCAAAAAGGTCTTGTCAATTTTCCAGGAGAACTGCGTACAGAAATATCAAGCTATGCTGGCCATCCATGGGAACATAACGAGGTAATGGCCGTGCTCTCTTCTTCACCTGTGTCCTGTGTGTTACACCAGGTATCCGGGTTCTAGTTTTCCATGTAAGCAGAGCTGGTACTTTGGGAGCAGCCTCTGTGTTCATAGTCGTGGGTTGGGATCACCATGGTGCAGGGGCTGTGATTCCTGTGAACACTAATATGTAGTCATTCCTCCGAGAACCTCTCATAGCTCCTAAAGGTCTCCGAACATTACGCTAATGGTGGGGCTTGGTTCAAGATATATTACTAGTACCTCCCGTTGGGGTTGGGGAGGAAATCGTAATAAGTCACAAAGCTAGTAAGAAATCCTCTAGGGCTGCTACTGCCTGTCTTGTGTTTTTATCCTGTGCCAAGAATTGCTCAGCCGTTGCTCTGTAGAAGAGCTTATTAAGAAGCATGGCGGAGAGGCCCTGCCAGTGATGTTCCTAATAGTGTGGACGGATGTAATTCGGAGACAAGCCCAAGTCTGAATCCTGGATCCATGTTCTAGCCTGTATCTATTTCTGTGATGGTCTGAATCCAAAGAACCTGAACCCTGGGAAAGACTGAATTTAGATTCAGATTTTGACCCCCCAACTTTTGGATTGCTTGGATGCAGGGTCTGGGTTTGGCTGACAAAGCTTCTCTCTGGAGTTTGGATCCTGGGGTTTGAGGATCCACCTCTAGTTCTAATCTATTGCCTATGTTTTATTATGCTAATTTGTATTGTAGTAGCACCTAGAGGCCCCAGTCAGGGATCGGAGCTTCATTGTGTTAGGTGCTGTACGTTCACATAACAGCCTGTTTCCTGTCGGAAAGAGCTTACAGTCTAGGGCCCTAGGTAACATCAGTGGGGCTATTTATGGTGTCAATAGGCCTTAAGCATGTGTGTAAGTCGTTACAGGGTAATAATAAATACCCAGCTCTTTTATGTAGCATTTTTCATCAGTAGGTTTCAAAGCACATTTACAAAGGAGGGCAATATCGCTATACTCATTTTACAGATGGCGAAACTGAGGCCTGGGAACGGTTAAGTGGCTTGCCCAAGGTCAGCCAGCAGGGCAGTGGCAGAGGCAGAATCAGAAACAGAACCCAGGCCTCCAGAGTTCCAGTCCAGTGCTCTGTCCAATTGGCTGACCAGGGTCTAAGTAATAACCCAGAGCACAGGAAAAAGTTACAAGTGGGTAAGAGGAGGAGAAAATTAATTCCCTGGCTGGGTAAATGCTGACCAGTCAGAGTTGAGGGAGCAGAGAAAAGGGGGTGATTTCCCTGACTGTCCCCTCACACCTCTGTATTGGGGAACACGCACATGGCAGCATTTTAAAATAAAAAATCCAGCCGACCATCCCTCCCAGTGCCAAACTGCCTCAGCTTCCCTTCAAGTGGCTGATTTCTTTGTTCACTCAACGGGAGGGTTCCGTGTACTACAAGGAGGCTGCTATTAAGACAGAGAGCGCCACTTACAAAGCATGATTTTATGTTAAATGGCGTTTGGGGAATACAGCAAAGAGCAAATTGCCCTGTGGTGATTGAGTGCTGCACAGTGACTTACCACAGCAAAAAAAAAGTGGAGTTACTTAGCTGTGGCTGTTGCCGAGGTTGGGTTTTTATTGCAAAGTTGCTTTTAAAGTGGAGCATCTTCTCCCCAAGGCTTTAGGTGTGGGTGGGAATGATTTTCTCTAACCGTTAGCATTAGAGCTTGCTTGTGGTTTGGCCCCTCTGTTTGAGGTGGAATCGAGTTCAGTGAGATTTACTGTGTGGGGGAACTTTTAGGACAAGCCTGGTAGTGAAGCTCAAACCTCCTGTAGGTGGATCTCAAAAAGCCCTAGGACATCTTCTTCAGGAGCAAGCATCTGCCTTGGTGTCCTTGGCTACCATTTTCTTTCTTCCCCCCACACTGTTGGGCAGGATGCACACAGTACCTCCTTGGAGAAACCGACTAGAACAGTGGCTCTCAACCTTTCCAGACTATTGTACCCCTTTCAGGAGTTTGATTTGCCTTGCGTACCCCCGAGTTTCACCTCACTTAACTAGTTGCTTACAAAAATCAGACATAAAAATACAAAAGTGTAACGGCCACTAGTACTGAAAAATGGCTTATTTTCTCATTGCTACCATATAATTATAAAATAAATCAATTGGAGTATAAATATTGTACTTACATTTCAGTGTATATTACATAGAGCAGTATAAACAAGTCATGGTCTGTATGAAATTTTAGTTTGTACCGACTTCACTAGTGCTTTTTACGTAGCCTGTTGTAAAACTAGGCAAATATCTAGATGAGCTGATGTACCCCAGGAAGATCTCTGTGTACCCCCACTGGTACACGTACCCCTGGTTGAGAACCACTGGATTAGACAACCTCTTGAGGTGCCCTCCTCCCCTACCCTTTTCTAATCCTGTGCAGCAGTTCTGACTAGCTGCAATCCCGTACCCCAAAAGTGGCTGCATTTCAGTGGTAGGGGAAGGAGTTCTCGAACATCATAGTAGATGCAATCCTGGAGTCCCCATTCCCTGTGCAGTTAAATCTCTTGTTGACTTCAGTGGGAGTTTTTTCTCTGAGGATGATCTTCACCCCTTTGCAGAGGGGACAGCATGAGGCCTTTGCAACATGTTAGTCTCATTTAGATTTAAGTGGGATTTGCGTGGGAGCAGTGGGTTTTTTTTGTTTTTTTGCTTTTGTTTTAAGATTTCTCTTGTTTTCCTTTTCTCTCCTGGTTGATTTCTATAGTTTGAGGTCAGAGTTGGTTTTTTACTTTCACTTCATTTCTAATGGGCTTGTTTTGGATTTGTCCTTGTTTAGTGGGTTGGGTTCTGTGGTGTGATGGGTCTTTTCTGGGGATTGCACTGTTGACTTTCAAAGAACAAAAATAAAGCCAAAACAAACGTACAACCTCTTTCCAGAATGATGAGGGTTTCATCTGCGTCACGTCTGTCCACTGGGAGGCACCTTTGCACTCAGGCACATAGCACAGGGGGCAACAGGGTGAGTCCCCCCAAGATTGTAGACAGGTTCTTGGTCTGAAACACACCAGTGATGCTGTTGGTAATCTGCATGTGGCAGCTGTTGCTCTGACCAAATATTGAGCTCTGTCCACCCCAGATGTGTGACGGCTCCATTGGAGAGGGTCTCGTGACTCAATGCTAATTGTTCTGATCAAACAAGTGATCCCACTGACTGGGAGTGATCTGAGCTCTTTGGGGCAGGGACTGGTCTAATTTCTTGTCTGCACAGTGCCTAGCGTCACAGAACTCTGATCCTTGACTGGGGCCTCTACGCCTTACCATAAAACTGCTACTAATAATACAGGAATAGGGTAAGCTATATTTGGCCCTAAAATAGGGACCCAGAAATCAGGACTTTTTAGGATACGTCTACACTTACTTCCTGGTTCGGCGGCAGGCAATCAATCTTCTGGGATCGATTTATCGCGTCTTGTCTATACGCGATAAATCGATCCTGGATCGATCCCGGAAGTGCTCGCCGTCGACGCCGGTACTCCAGCTCGGCGAGAGGAGTACGCGGCATTGACGGGGGAGCCTGCCTGCAGCGTCTGGACCCGCGGTAAGTTCGGACTAAGGTACTTCGAATTCAGCTACGTTATTAACGTAGCTGAATTTGCGTACCTTAGTCCGAAGTGGGGGGTTAGTGTGGACCAGGCCTAAGGGTATGTCTATACTGCCTCATGAAACTGGGTCTGTGGAACCCAGGCTTGTACACTAGGTGTTTCCAAGCCTGTGTTTGAGCATCTACACTGCATTGTTAACCTGGGTTTACAGTCGCTGGAGCTGGGTCTCACAGCTGTGCTGATGCCTCCATAGCGCACTACACAGCCCTTCTGACTTGGGTTTGCAGCTTGACTGGAGTCCACATTGCAAAATGACAGGGCTTGAACCCAAGTCATGGTAGGACTCTGGCTCTGACCCACCCCCCTAGTAGGGTCCTAGGACCCAGGTCATAAGTGCTTGCTGACCCAAGTCAGACTCATCTGTGTGTGGACGGAAGCAGGGCTTGGGCTCAAACCTGAGTCAGAGCCCTGGTTTAATGTGCAGTGTAGACACACCCTAAGGTGCTATTCCCAGCTCAGCCACCGATGTGCTGTGTGACTTCAGGCAAGTCACTTCGCTTCTCTGTGTTTGGATTCCTCAGCTGTAATGTTGACCTCCCCATAGTAAGGTTTAGTGTATTGCTTGGAGACTCGTGCATGCTACAGAAGTGCAGTCGTTACTTTTAGGCAATGCCTATTTTTCTTTATTATTGTCTATGTGGGAATTAAGCACATAGGGCCTGATCTAAAGCCCATTGAAGACAAAGGGAGTCTTTCTACTGGATGAGGCACAGAGAAAGGAGAACAGCCATTGTTAATTACAAATTTAAATAGCCTTTTAGAGTGAATTTTGGCACCGGGTGTGTGCACCCTCCACACAGGGTACATTTTCCCCATTCGTTTACTGCTAGTGCTCTTTGGACAGCCTTGCCTAAGAACAATAGAGGCACGACTGTAATTATAACATGGGTGTGACACCAAGAGCCATTCATCTGCTTTCCTGTAGGATTTTAACCCAAATCCAACATGGTTTTCAGAAGGGGGGAAAAAAATCAAAGTTCTCATTCTTACCAAATATTTGACTGGAGTTTTTGTTTGTTTTGTTTGTTTTTTCTCAATAGGGACGTTTGGGAGATGAGAGAGCATTTGAAGAAACTCAGCAACTCTATAGCCGCTTGTAATGTGGAGATGATGGGATGCCAGGAGTGCCTCCATAATGTACTGTGTTTATTCTAAAACCCTCTCTGCTCAGAAGATGGATACTACAATGTGGATTTTTTTTTAAAATCAAACTAGTATCTTGCACTTGTAAATTTCAAAGTGCTCACAAATCCCCTGTGATACTAAGTAGTCTTCATTTTATAGGTGGGGAAAACCTGCAGAAGAGCAAGGTGAAGTGGGTAACACTTTCAAAAAGTCAATGGGACCTTGGCTCTTGTGGCACTTAAGTGCTTTTGAAAATTTGATCCCAAGTGACTTGCCCAAAGTTACACAGTGAGTTGGTGTCAGCGGTGGGGTTAGAATGCACTCATTCCTGGCTCCTAATCCTGTGTTCAGACTACTAGTCTGCAACACGCTCACACGTCTTAAAAAAAAAAAAAAAATTAGCAGCAAATTAAGTCGCTGCTAACAAGTTATTATCCCAGTGAGTATAGGTGCTGGGCCCGTATCCTATACGCTACAACATACAATCTGTAATCTCACGAGGGTGACACTTCTTCTGACTCTTGTGGTTTTTTGCCTCATTGAGACTTTCATTAACACCCTGCCAAATTTCTGTGTAACTAATGGTCGAGTATGATGTGTTGATCTCTTAACTGAACAGGTTATGTAATGGCAGGTCCTGGGTGCCCAGTGGACAGGAAACAATGAACACCCCTCCTTCAAGTGAATAGCGGCCTAGCGGTAGTTACTTTAGACTGTAATAAACTGGAAGTGGCAACAGTTATAAACATGATGAGCTGCCTAGTGGTTTTTAGGATGCATTCTCTGGTACTTTATGATGTAGACACATAACAGGTGCCCTGGTCCATCTGCTATTTTTATTTTGCTTTCCCTGGAGAGGTTTATGTGATGGCCCTGGTTATCTGCACATCACTCTACTTCCGCGTTTAAAACCCCCTTGCTATTAAAACCTCTAAGCATCAAAGATGCTAGAGTTAAATATAGGAAATAGCATGTCATTTGCAGGCTGTAAAGTTTCCTTCTCCTTCACAGGCTTTGGACAGATTACCTCAGAGAATCCTGCGGGAGAAACCAAATTTGGCCCAGGTCTCTTCTGCACCCCCACCAATTTACATGAATCTAGTCGATCAGGAGATGGTACTTAGGTGAGTCCAGGTGGGTGACAGGAGAGAAGGGAGCTGGAACATGTCCAGAACCAATGAGAAGGACCCAAGCTGTGTGCACCATTACGAGTTCCCTTATGCCTAGGAATAGGCCTGAATCATAAACTTCCCCAGAGCCAAGCTATGGTTGGTTTGGGCTTGGGCTAGGGACCACTACCAGCCATGTGAGAGTTCATGGTCCCTCTTTATATTAAGGTTCCATTAATAAACGGTTTGAGGGGTTAACAAATATCATGTTAGACATTATGTGTTTATAAGTGGTTTGGCGTCCATCAGGAGAAGACTTTATAGAGGGGTATAAGCTGTGGCTGTCAGCAGCCTGTTGGACTCTACAACAATTGATAAACCGTGCATTCAGACCGCTGTTAACCCTTTGTGAACTGTTCGTAAAAGGAACCTTAATATGAAGTGTGGTGGTGGTGGTGATTTTAGGTGTGGGTATCAGAACAGAGCAGGCTTGAGAACTTGAAGGAGCAGGGAGACCTTGTTTGTTCTCTAGCAGATAGTGTTAACCGGCTTTCTAGCCCTCCCACAGGTGCACAGGGGTTGAGGGAGGAGGGGACTGTAGGCCAAGTTGGGCTCTCAGAAGCAATGCAGGAAACTCCAGAATAGCTACTTGCTACTCAGAATGGGGGAGTGTCTGAGCAGGGGAGCTCTGTGCTTGGTACTCACAGGACTGCCTTATACCTTGGGCCCTACCAAATTCAAGGCCCATTTTGGTCAATTTCACGGCCATACGACTTTCAAAATCGTAAATGTCGTGATTTCAGATATTTAAATCTGAAATTTCACAGTGCTGTAATTGTAGGGGGCCTGACCCAAAAAGGAGTTGTGGGGAGGGGGGTCGCAAGGTTATTGTACGGGGGGGGGGTGGAACTGCTACCCTTACTTCTGCACTGCTGCTGGCGCTGCCTTCAGAGCTGGGTGGCTGGAGAGCAGCGACTGCTGGTCGGGAGCCCAGCTCTGAAGCAGAACCACCGCCAGCAGCAGCACAGAAGGAAGGATGGCATGGTATGGTATTGCCACTCTTACTGCTGCGCTGCTGCTGGCGGGGTGCTGCCTTCAGAGCTGGCCGCTTGGCCAACAGCCGCCCCTCTCCAGCTGCCCAGCTCTGAAGGCAGCTCAGAAGTAAGGGTGGCAATACCGCAACCCCCCTAAAATAACCTTGCAACCCCCCGCAAACTTCTTTTGGGTCAGGACCCCCAGTTTGAGAAATGCTGGTCTCCCTCGTGACATCTCTATAGTATAGGGTAAAAGCATACAAGACCAGATTTCACGGTCCATGATGCGTTTTTCCTGGCCATGAATTTCATAGGGCCCTACTTATACCTCCTGCTGGGGAACGTTTCTCTTGTGTTCTTTGCTATGTTAAGCCATTTACTTTTGCACACACTGTTCTCCTACCTGAGGGTAAGGACTTGCTGAAGAGAAGAGGACTTCCACTTTCCTTCTGCAGGAAACTCTCCCACTAGCAAAACAGCATGTGAGTTAAGAGGCTTGTTTGTGTCTTTGTCAGAATGAAGGAACTTCGAGAGCAAATGAAACTGGTAGCGAATGACCTCCAGAGCAACAACAGCATCATTGAGCGGTAAGAGAGTGTGCTCTGTGTGCAGCAAAGCTACTCAGCTGAGCGTTTACTTGCCGCCTCTAATGTCTAGATAGAGCTTAACCTGCTGCCTGGGAGGAGCGTGGGATGGTTCAGATATGAATTTGACCAGGGGAATAGTGTTGATCATTGGTACTGTAATGAGATAAAGGAATATAAGGTCTACAACAAAGTTATGCCAGCCAACTGAGCCATTTCTCACAGTGATATTAGGACTATACTAAATTTACCTCCTGACCTAGAATTTCTGAAGAGTTTATTTGCCTTTGAAGTTATGCCTGACCTTAGCTTATGTGAATGCCTACCTACGTTTCACCCTGCCATTTCAGACATTCTTCCTTTGTTGCTCTGCACTGTTCGACAGTTGCTGTTTTCCCACCCCAGAAGTGGCTGTATTCCAGTGACGGTTGAAGTGTTTCCTGTACGCACAAAGGGCTGGTCTACACTAACCCCCCAATTCGAACTAAGATACGCAACTTCAGCTACGTGAATAACGTAGCTGAAGTCGACGTACCTTAGTTTGAACTTACCGCGGTCCAGACGCGGCAGGCAGGCTCCCCCGTTGACTCCGCGTACTCCTCTCGCCAAGCAGGAGTACCGGAGTCGACGGCGAGCACTTCTGGGTTCGATTTATCACGTCCAGACAAGACGCGATAAATCGAACCCAGAAGTTCGATTGCTTGCCGCCGAACCAGCAGGTAAGTATAGACGTACCCTTAGTGTTTCATCCAGAAATTCTTTACAAACTCATTTGCTAAGTGTAAGATCCGCCTCCTACTACTAATAAGAACATCTGGCACTTCTCCTGGTCTTTGGGACTCAGGATCACAAAGTGATTTAACAACATTAAATACATCTCTGCTTACAGATAGAGAAACCTGAGGCAGAGAAGGGTTAAGTGATTTGCTTAGGCTCACACAGCAAGTCAGTGGCAGAGACAGAAATAAAACCCAGGAGACTCACCACCTGCTCCCTAGACAACACCACCTCAGTTACCATGAATCCTTCTGAATAATAAGAATCAAAATGTCAATATGTTTCAGGCTAGAATTTAGAGGGAGAAAAATTCTATTTTGTACCTCCGTGTTTGCATCCCTGCCTGCTTTTAGAGACATTAACTACATTAGCACCATAGTGCTGGCTGTGAATGAAGAAGAAAAGAGCAGGTGTGTTTCGGAACGAATGGCTTATTTCAGGAGATGTGGGAACAAGCTGCAAAAGTTTGGATCCACATCCAAATTCCACCCCAGAGTTCAGGAGTGTATGAATCCAAGAAGGTTGCTGTGTCCTTCTCTAGTATAAACCTTTTGATTTTTGTTCCCACAGGTTAAGTGGGGTTGCGTCCGCTCCAGATGTTTGAGGGAGATGTGATGGATTTGGAGCTGATGAAATAGTGTTTTGTTTTTTGTTTTTAAATTATATCTCGCACTTTGGGTCAAGATCAATGGAGAACTTTAGCTCAAAGACATCACCTTGTCCTACCTCTCTGCTCCAGCACTTTGGCACAGTTCACCAGCATTAGCCTTACCTGGGCTGCAAACCTCAAGTGCTTGAATACTGGCAGTGTCCCTAATGTTGTTCAGATGTTACCCTGTTTGGGTTTCCTTTGACAAAATGGATTGTTTCCAGTATTTTACATTTCTTTCTTGTTCCCATCGAATTGCTGACTTCATCCTGTATCAAGGAGGCCATGCTCTGTTAGATGAAATGGGTTAGATTAAATCAGCATCTTTAAGCCACTTTACATCTCTCCCACCCATGGAATACAAGCAGAAGTCTCTGTAATTTGTGACTCCAGCATAAAGATGATTTTTCCATTGCATGATCTCCTGGGTTCTTTATCCTTGTCAATTTTGATCATCACGGGTCCTTTCCAGTGTGAGCCGTGTGCAGGAAGGATAGTGGACTCAATGGACCAAAGATCTGTTCCAGTATGGAAATATTCCCACTTCCAACTGGGAGAAGGTGGAATATGGGCAATGCAGAAATCAACAGCACCAAATCTTCGAAGAGCTTCGCTTTGGAGTATAGCTGTTGTCAACTGTGTGCTGGAGACTGGACCATCTGGTTGTGTTCTGTCACTTCCTCTCCACCTAAGTCACATATGTTCTGATTACCGATGGCCATAAGAATATGAAACAATCGGAAGCTTCGGTTGCCGTGTCTTGTAGGTCTGTTTCCAGAGCGATACATGAACTCTGTACTTATATGCACATGCGCGCACACACTCCCTGAGTAATTCCATATTAAAGATATTGTGTAAAATCCTTGAACGTGACATCCATGGGCTGCATCCAAACGCATCTTTACAAGTGGGAGAGGGTGATTTTTGTTTTGGGATGAGCCGTGGAAGTCAATGTCAAGCGGACAGCTGATCTAGCTGTGAAATGCTGAATTATTCCAGAGAACGCTGGTCCGATTGGCTTATTGGCGATTTAATTTAAATTTGTTAAATTGGCTTCCCATAAGGGACCTAGTGAAAAACGTTCAAAAGTGACTTGAGACCTAAATTATATTTTCAAAAGGGACTTGGGCACTTAGGAGCCTGAATCTTATTGAAAATTAATGGAAATTCAAGCTCTTAAGTGCCCGAGTCACTCTTGACAACTGGGCTTTGGTTCCTAAATCACTTAGGCGCCGTTGAACATTTATTCACAGAAAGCTATACACATGAAACAGATGGTATAAAAATAACTTTCTGGAATAATTTCAATACTCACTAAGTGTTATCATTCCTTGACAATATGGGCCAGATTCTCAGCTGGTGTCTCCATTGGAGCTTCACTGATCTACACCAGCTTCATGATCTGGCCCTATGAATTTCAATCTTGTTTTCAATCAAGAATCTCTTCTTTCTTGAATCTCCGCTTTTAACCGCCACTAGAGTTAATGAGAGCTGTGCGCGTGTATCTAGGTCCCATGTATGTAATAGCAGAACACTGACTACCCGAATGCTTCGCTCTCCAAACCTTCTTTTCTAATACACTGCCCTGGTACCCTCTTGTCTCCCTGTCCCTTGACTCTGATTACCCAAATAATCAGTGATCCAAGCGTATTTGGTGGTACAGTTGATCTGGATCTGACAGTGTATTTGATGCAGAGAAGGCGTCTCTTTAATGCAAACCAAATGTAAACACAGGAATGGTCTGGTTTGTTTGGAGAACAACTTGTAAATGGAACTCGTTTGCTTGGTCATGTCTGTGGTGTCTGTTAACGTCCACGTGATAATGGAATAAAATGGTTACAGAAATGGTGTTTTGTTACAGAAATGATTCCTAGGGCTATTTATAAAGCCTCTGCTCCAACATGCAGAATTGTGTGTCTGGAGTTTGCAGATCTGGACAGTCCCAGACTCCCAGTAAATCTGACTGCAGCGTTCCAGGAAAGCGTTTTGTTAGCTTTCATTAGGGAGATAATACGCTTTGACAGTGGATGCAAAGGTGTCCTTGTTTGTGATACATGCACAGGCCCCCATCCTGCTTGGCCAAACTCCATGTTCTTCAGTGGGATTCTGCCTGGGCACAGGGGTCTGCCTGCATGTGCCAGAGTGCAGGATCCAAGCCATAATTTTCAGGCATGGTTTTGAAGATAAATCCACCTGAGAACAGAACGAACGCTGAGTGTTTCGTGTTGCTGTGCGCAGAGTTCATTATAAAATGTGACTGCATTTGTAAAGGAGAAACCGATTGTTTGCATGTTCTATAGCTTGATTTATTGCTGATCCCCAGCAGGCCTTTAGGGATTAAGTTTATCCCAGAATAATAGAGACTGGGGCCTTGTGGACGCATGACCTAGTGGCTCGAGCACTGGGCTGGGTTCTATTCCTGCCTCTGCCACTGGCCTGCTGGGTGTGAATAGAAAAATCTATTCATGCAACTGATTCCCTCCTCTCACTCTTTGTTCTGTCTGCTTGGATCCTAAACTCTTTGTGGCAGGGACTGTCTCTGATGTGTCCATGCAACATCTAGCACAAGGGTTCCCTGATCTTGGTTGAGAGACTGAATAGGTATAAGCAAAGAAAGGACCATTTGTCAGCTTCTGAGTTTTGAAATGGAGTTATCTATGGGTCACAGAGACAGAGGGAAGCTGTTCTATGGCAGGAGCCTCTGAGGAGAAGGCTCTTGCACCGACAGCATTGTCGGGGAGGGAATGCAAAGATGAGGCCAGTGCCAATTGAGCAGGGAGGGAAGTAGGAGAGACTAAGTCAATGAGGTTGGCTGGAGTGAGTTTGTGGCAGACTTAAAATAGGGCAGTTCTGAGCTGATGCCTGAAATGAATGCTGAGCCAGTGGAGCCGTTTGAAGATACCACTGCTGCTTTGTGTGTGTGAGGACAGCCACAGCCCTTTGCCTGTGCTGGTCTAGGAGAGCTGGGACTGAGGGGGAAGGGAGTTAATTCCCATATAATTGTAGGCCAGGAAAAACATGAGATCTATTCAAAATCCCTATTGCTCTAAGTCAATGCTGGTGCCAAATACTTTGCCTCCAGTATTATGCCTCAAACTTCCTACCATTTTTAACGTTGGGCTTTACGAGCGGTTGTAATCCTTACCCGTTATCCGCTGACTCAGCTGTTTGCTGGCAGCAGAGTGTCAGGTGATGATGATATAGGAAGCTTAGACTCTCCAGGGGGCAAACATTAGATGATATCAAGAAGCTATTTGCAAGCAGAGTCAGGTGCGCTGTCTTTTCCCTTTTCCCTTTTCCATCTTCCCGCTGGGTGATTTATGGGTGAAACCCCCAGCGGAGGGGAGCAGAGAGACCCAGATAAAGGTCTCCAAGCTGCAAATGGAGCTAAACTGAGTGATGATGCCGCTCACAGAAAGTGGGAGGGGAGTGGGGTTGCAAATGCAATCCATGTCTGAGAGGTGGCTATTTAGAACCTGGGAGCTGAGCATTTAAAAGGGAAGGGAATTCCCCTGGTGCTCTCTCTCCCTTCCCGCCCCACTCACACTTATAGATAAATCACTGCCTATGCCCCCTAGACTCCTACTTTGCATGTTACAAAAAGGGAACTATGCTAATGATACAATGTAGAAGGTGTCCAGGCGTCTCTAGTGGGAAACGCAGGCTCATTGCACTACTTGGTCCTTATAGCCAAGTGTTTATAGCCATTTAGCAATGGTAAGTGGAGCGACAATGTGATAAAGAGGGTAGCGTACTGGGCAGGGAGCCAGGAGACCTGGATTCTATTCCTGGCTGTGCCACTGGCTTGCTGGATGACCTTGGGTAAGTCACTTCCCTTTTCTTCCCTTCCAAGCCTGTCTATTCAAATTGCAAACTCCTTGGGGCAAGGACTGCCTCTGAGTGGATGCCTACAACATTTGGCTCAATGGGCCTCTGACTCTTTCACAATGCAAATAGGTGCTTTTGTACCGGCACTGCCAGTAATTAATCTCCATGTCTAGTAAAACCATAGTTGCCTTGTGGTTGTGGGTTTTCCCTTCACTGTGTACTGGTGTAAGATGTGTTACAAGTCAGGGCAAGCTGAGTGTTTCAAAGACATGATGGAGTAGAACAGCCCCTCTGTGTCAAGCTTCCTTGTCAGTTTCCCAAGATTAACTTCAGAAAGAGAAACTTTATTGTTTGGAGGAAAGTTTCACACTTATGAAACTTAGTGTTTCAATGTGTTTGTCAGTCCCTGCCCCTTGATAATATTTCTTGCTAGTTTTGATTATTATTGAAGCTATTCGCATTTTAAAAATATGACTACCTTGATACTTTTAAGGGAGGAAGTAGTATCCAATGGTTACAGCAGGGGACAGGGAGCCAGGACTCCTGGGTTCTATTTCCAGTTCTTGAACATAGCATCGGATCACGTGCTCAGAGCGAGGGACTAGGAACCAAGACATCTGACTTCTGTTCCTAGCATTGGGTCTGATTATGGGACTGGGTTACCAGAGAAAGGGATTTGAGAGCTAGAATTCCTGAGTCCTAGTGGATTTGATTTTACCTTAAGCAAGTCACTTCACCTTCCTGGGCTTCAGCATCTACACCTACGTAATGACGCTAGCAATACTGGGCTGCCCCAGGAGATTGAGTCCAAGTGCTTTGAGAGCTTCTGATCAAGGCACTGGAAAAGTGCAAAATGCTTGTGGTTGTTCATACTTTCCAGCCGATCTGCTGATCCCACATATAAAAAAAGAAGCGGGGCTGCTATCCAAGCATGAATGTCTGAATTAATAGCAAACAGGATACCAAGAATGACTGTCCCAGCCGATCTGTAACAAGCTGTTTCTTCTCTTTCTTTCACCTCTCCTGCTATTCCCTTTCCAGTGCGTTTTCTGTGGCTAACCATTTGTTTGCTAAACAATCAACGGTAAACCCCACTGTCAAACCTCAACCCCCTGAGTGAATGTTTTGGTTCCAGAGCATTGACTCTTACGTCCTTCGAGCAGTCACGTCCTTGGGCTCAGGCAGCCTGACAGGTCACTTTGTCATTATGATTTAAAGAAACTGAACGGTCCCAAAGTGCTGCTTAAGCTCAGACTCTAAGCCCTGAGTATATCCTTCACCCCCTGACAATAGGGTGGTGTCAACCTTTAGATAAATTAATAGCCTCACAGTCTTGATAAGCCTCCACTATCCTTGTACCGGATGGGGGCTTTTTATTTTATTTTTATTTTTTTGCTTCCTGCTTGGGGAGGCTAAACACTAGCTGTTATTACTGTTGCACATATTGTGTACGTGCATGGGGCTGGTCCCTGGTTAACAAGGGGTTAATCTCAGATCTGCATACCCCACCTTTTGAACAGCCAGTTGAGGGAAGGACTATAAAGAGGTTTCTTTGGGGATAGAGTTGGAGAGATGTCTTAGGAAGAAATCAGTATCCAAACCTCCGGGGCCATAGGACTGGGCTGGGGACCAAGGTGGGAAGTTTTCTTTTGGCTTATTATTATTATTATTAAATACATGTATTGTGGTAGCACCCAGAGGCCCCGATCAGGGATTAGGCCTCATTGCGCTAGGCTGCGTGTG